CACCACTGGTATTCAGGTCTTGTGCTAGGTACTGAGAGTAAGACATTGTCCCTGTCCTCAGTATGTTTTAAGATATTAGGAAAGACAACTGCAAGTTATTTTGATGGCAGTAAAAATCAGCCAAGCAAAGATGGACAGATGTCCCATTTCAGGCAGAGGGGATGCTCCATCCAAACCAACCGAAAGAGGTGAGCCTCACACGGTCAGGAGGAGGATTGCAAGCCATCTGGCAGGACTGGGGGTACGGATGCATCAGAAAGTAGCACGCAAGTCAGTGTTAGCTTTTGGAGGCACTGCTGCCTGCCTGAGGATATTTCTTGGGTGTCAGACAGCTGGGGAAATGAGAGGGTCAGGAGGTGTGTGTCTTTGACGGTCAGCACTGCGGGGGTGGGGGACGGTGCCAATGGTTTTTGCTTTAGCTCGGGTTCTCTTGAAATAAAACTCGAGGCAACAATTAGGTGCTGATGCTTTATTGGGAGGGACAGTCCCAGGTAGTGAGTGTGTGAGACACAGACCTCCAGGCAGGGAAGACTAGAGAGTAGCAGAAGGTCATGCGTTACTAGGCTGGTCATGGTTTCTTATGTTGCAGAGATGCAGATGATTGCTTAGCAGGTATACCCGCTTGGATGTGGCAGGCAGGTAAAATGGAATCATGTTCTGGAGCAGTCTATGAGAGGGAAGATGGTACGGGAAGTTGTCTTCTCGTCTCCCATCTAAGTCTACCCCCACTTCTACACTGTTCGGGCACTGCTTCCTTGGCAGTTGATCTGGACACCAGTTCTCATCACTGTAGTGTGGCTTTGCATCCATAAGCCACAAATTTCAGGCATGTGGTGGTTTGGCCAAGATGAACAGCCATAGCCCATTAGATTGAGGGGAAGAATGGTTCCTATAAGTAGAAGACCCAAGAGAATTCCACATCCATAGTCGTAGTTTGGAGGGCCCAGGAGACACGGCTCCAGGGGATCGAGGGATGTGCATAAGATGTGTCAGGTAAGTTTTCAAACCACACAGGTGCAATCCCCAACATAAAACAGATAGAGAGGAGTTATTCTTTGACAAAGAAAGTTGACAGCTTTTTCACACTCCCTCCTTTGGTGAGTTTACAGGCAAACCCCTGTTTCTTGTGGTAACAGTTTGAGATTAGATTAGATTAGATTCCTTCTTGCACCTACACTCAGACTTGTTTAGTAATACAGCTGAGGAAGAATATTTTATTGTCTGTAAGATAAACTTCTTTTTGACTTTTGGTTTGTGGAATTGCAAAGAAAGGAAGCCGTAGCAAGCGTAAACATGGAAAGAGTTATAAGAAATCCTGGGATTTTGGATTTTTGAAAATTTAAAGTTCATCTAGTTCAATTAACTCATAAAATTCAAGAGAATGAATTGTCCTGAAAAGGTCATACAACTAATGACTGAAAAGTGAAGGGCTAGAACCAAGGGAATCTGACTCTGGGCTCTTCTCTCTGTGAGCATATTTTTGGAGTTCATGAATGTGTGTCAGTGGTTTTTTAATTTTGCATTTTTGTTGTGATAACAATATAAAATCGTCCCTGTAGGCCAATACTGGACCATCTGGTTGACCACAGAATAGTTTTGCATCCAAAGTGTAGTGAATCCTTTCTTTGTGCTGGACTTTTAACCATGCAAGGGAGCCAAAGAGCGGGGCTCTGCCCACAGTACCATGTTTCCACTGCTGTGGACAGCGTCTCAAGAGTTCCGTCTTGGCATATTTGCTTTAAAGCTATACGGGGATGTGAAAATGCTTTCTCTTCTCCTACCTCCAGCCGTAATTTGGTTTGATACCCATCACTGAAGCAGTAATGCAAACTTTATCCTCAAGTGAACAAGACAATTTTGCTTAATTATAGGTGACATTTAAAGTGTCATTTTATTCTGCAGAGAGGTTTTAGATACATTGAAGGTCTCTACAATCTCAGTTAGAACCTTGATATTACTTAGTATTCTCTTACTCAGCATATTTATGTAAACAATACTTTCTGTATTAGAATTACTAAAGTCAAAATTCTGAAACACTGAAGACAGGACAGGACCTGAGATCTACTATTTCCTTTATTTATTTTTATTTATTTATTTTTTTGGTACCTGAGATCTTCTGCTTGTGAGGCATGCAGCAGAACCACTGAGCTAAATACCAGCCTGAGATCTACTATTTTTATTGGTGCATATTAGTGGTACAGAATAATGAGATTTGTTTGGTATATTGGTCCATGCATATAATATATTTTGATTATTTTCTTCCCATTACCCCTTCTTTCTTGCCTCCCCTTTCCCCCTTAACTGTTGAGAAGACTCAATATTAAAATTGTCATTGCTGTGGAAAAGTATTACATTCCCTATAAATTTATATGGTGAGTTTAAATTTTACTACTTTCATAGGTTTTAAAATTTAATTTGTAAAATTTTCTTAGTCATCTTATTGGAGCATGACTAATAGCCTGCTTCATATATGTATATATCTAAGCATTATGATAAGAACAACGCAATTCTATACTTGGAAATTGAGGGGTTTTTTTCCTGCCAGAAATGAGTCCAGATAGCACCCACTTTGAGAACCACTGCTAACGCCATAGCTTCCTCCTAGCTGGTGTGGTTACTCAGTGACAATCTAGAGTGCATTTCTGATTCAGAGGATCTGGTTCTGACACTGCCAACAACTCTGTGTGTCTATTAAGTCAGAAACCTCTCTGGCCCTCAGTTTTTTCGGTGGCGAGTTAAAGGTTACAGGGATCATAAATTCTTATGCCTCTCGGAACCAGGTAGAGTAATTAGGTGAAATATACCAGCTGTCAATAACAGGCAGTATTGGAGACAGTGACTAATTCAGAGAACATTTGTCCTGTGTTTAAAATGACTGTATTTAGAATCAAAACTTTTATTTAGCATTACAGTGAAGACAACAAATCTGTGGATGAGATTCCATCCGAAAGCACCAGCTGGTGATTCCTGGAGCAAACCATGCTTTGCACACCTTCCCCAACGCTACAGCATGCCGAGCAGTGCAGGGTGGAAAGAGGCATAGAAGGAAATCCTCCAGAATGCTTCCGTGTACTTTAGTGTTCAGCACCCTGCAGCATCGTATAAAAGAATGAACAAGGGAGGGCCTGGGAAATGCAGGATCAAAGTGAGTGGAGATTTAAAAAACACAGCAAAAGAAAAGAACGAAGTGAGAGAAAGACCCTTCTTGGGCTCAACTGTCCGCAGGCAAAAGCGCGGCTGTATTACAATCCCCATTCAGTCCTCTGGTAACACGCTGCAGATCCACGCCAGGGATTCATTCACTACTGACAAACTACGGGCCAGGCACTGTGCCAGTGCTGGAGAGAACTCTAAAAAATCATAATCAGGTTTTTATTTTTTCTTAGGAAATCCTCTTGAATGGTTGTTTTCCACTGTTGTGCTTTTTTGCTCTCGATTTGTGCCGTGTCATTGATAAGAAGTCAATTCAAATTACCATTGGAATATTAAATAAGGCATTTTATATGTGTTTCTCACTTCTGAAAGTTTAAGAAGACAGCATGAGAGTAGTTCGAAATGGATATCATGTGAGCAGAAGCAGTGTGGTCCCGGATGTACGTTCTAACGTGGAGAGTGTTTTCCAGGCCAAGTACAAACTCTTAACTTCTCACTTCTCAGTGGCAGTTAGCATTTAGCACACAGATCTTCTGCCACTGGCCTGGCTGTTAGGTTTAGTCTTCACTTCTCACACCTACATTCTTATTTGTGTCCAGGCTCAGCCACCGTCCCCTGGCAGGCAAAATAAGTGTTAAACTGGTTCAGTGAACCCAACTCCAGGCTGTGGGGCCCAGTTCACGGCATTTAATTTAAATGCAAAACAATAAATAGGCAGAGTGCGTAATGAAAAGGAACATTTAACCTGTCCCTGGTACGTTAACTACCTTATGTATGTATGTTGGCCACATTTATTCTTGTAAGAGGCTATTTCCTGTTTTAAATGCCTTTATTTACATCTGCCACCTTTCTTGCAGGTTATTAGCCTTGTCACCATGTTCTTTGTCCATTCAAAATCAATTGACTTTTCTTTCTTTTTATCCTCTTCCTCCAGCTCCGCCTCCTCTTTCTTCTTCTTCTTCTTTGTGTGTGTGTGTGTGTGTGTGTGTGTGTGTGTGTGTGTGTGTGTGAGGCTGAGGACTGGACCCAGGGCCTTTGCACTGAGCTGCACCCCAACCCTTTTTTAATTTTTTATTTTGAGACAGGATCTCAATAAATTGGTAAGTTGCCTAGGCTAGGCTCAAATTTGAGATCTTCCTGACTCAGCCTCTCAAAATACAGGGATTATAGGCATGCATCACCACACCTGACTATTGCTTAACATCTTTATGATAAAACTTTGAAAGGTTTTAGCTTAAGAGTGGCAGACAGAGTGCCAAGTCGCACAAGCCCTGTGAAGACATAACACTTGAAGTACAATTATTTTTCAGGGGATCTGTGGTTTTTATTTAGATTTCTAGAATATACTGAGTCCATGGGCATAGTTTTCAAAATGTAAAATTAAGATATCACCATAGATATTGCAGGTACTGCTTAGTAATGTACATGAATGAAGGAGAACATGCATTGTTTAAAAAATGACACAATTCAGACTCTTGGGATTTGCCTAGCTAGACCAATCCCAAAAGTCTTTCTGTAAACCACCTTCTCTGTCCTAGTTCCTTTGGCCACTTAAGAACAGGAAGTCACTGCTTTATGAGTACGTGACAGTTGCTAATACTGAATTTTAGATAAGTTTCTTTCTTTGTATCTTATAGAAAATATGCAATCACAGGCCCTAAGCTAATCAGTGTCTGGATGTTATGAAGCAAGTCGACTGACATGAATGACCAATTCTTCCCATGGCTGAAATAGTATTTTCATTGATTCATTTTTCACAGCTCTGAGAAGCCCACACTTGTGCTTTTTGATGTGGGAAGAAAAAAAAAAAAAAGCCACAGTCGCTGATTGCAAACATTTGTTCTCAGGTGCCAGGTCGACCTGTCGGCTCTCAGTAGGGAACAGACACACAAGTTGGAGCTGCAGCTGGAAGAGGGTGCGGGGCACCTGGTGCTGCTCGTCACGCTGACAGCCTCGGCCACGGTCAGCGTCTCTGACCTCTCCGCCACCTCCCTGGAGGACCGGAAGGAGAGGGAGGAGATCCTGAAGAGATACGTACGTATGCAGCTCCTCTTTCCGGAGTCGCTGTGACTACACAAGGTCACAGAGGTGCACTGGAGGGACAGGCGGAAGACTGGCTTGCTCCAGCTTCACGGGAGTGTTTCCCTTTTCGCGCCAGTGTCTCCATGCATGGTCTTCTCCAGAATCAGTTGCCGATCCATTCGTGGAGCTTGGAGTCTCCTCGGTGATTTTATCCTGCAGGGAAACATCCCTCAAGGAGAGTCAAGTTTACACAACATCACTTAAAATTGATTCATTGTCCTCTGGGTATTTCAAATTAAGATTTCTTTGTCTCTCCAAGTTTGAAATGAGATTAATGACATTAATTAGAAGTGTGGTAACTAGAAAATATTCATGAAGTGATCTTTATTTTCTACTGCTCAGAAAAGCTTCATGTCATTACTTTGATTTAAAAAAATTGACCGTAAAATGTAATGAAAAGCAACTCTCTTTCTGTTTGATCGTATATGGAGAGGGTGGAATAGAGAGCCATGAAAATATCTACTCTCCTCAAATTTTACCAAATCCAATCATTCAAAACCAGATCTTCCTATTTCCCAGGATCCTCCCAAGGTACCTTACCCACTGTGTAGTTTTCTTGAATCAACAGAGAGGGGAGCTCTTACTCCACCATTGTCTCAGTGGAGGCTTGGAAAATTGAATGCCTCAGTACCCATGAAGCTGGGGAAAAAAGCTTTTCCACTTAAAATTACAAAGCTTGTATTGTACAATGCTGCCAGGTGTTTAGAAGTCTCCTCTAGACACTCAGCCATGAAACCAAGCTCTGACTAACAAAGAACAGCTTCTTTTTTAAAAAACTATTCCTATTTGCTGAGTGACATCCTTTCCATAACTGAATTTAATAAAGATGTACCTTATCAGGCTGTGCAGATAACATGAAGTGCTGGTACTAATGCTCTACAATATTCTTCAAACAGATTAGCAGGATGTACGCTTCAGCAAATTTATTCTGGCTATCTGCACTGAATCAGCTGTCTGCTAATGCTTGTACAACTCATTGCCAATGGTGTTATCATAAACAGTTTAATAGAGGTGACTTAGCAAGGCTAAATAGTATATATTTTTAAACCACCTAGGAGCTTAAGGTATTGTATGGCATCTTCTAATATGTGATTGCAATTATGAGAATTATTTCACATTTTGCTACCCGCCAAAACATGTTCTGTTACCAGAAGTGAGCCCCAAGAAATTTAAACTACTGTAAAGGAGTTAATTGGTATATCAATACAAAACTTCTTCTAGGCATTATAACGCTGTAGCTGATGGATTACTATTTTGATATTATCCCATATATGAGGATGATACTCCTTCCCGGGTGATTAGAAGTAATCTCTCTATTATTGATTTTTTTTCCCCTTTCTGCTGGATGGACTTCCTGAAATTGGGCATGCCCATTCAGAATCTGAATATCTACTTTTTTACCTTCTTTTGAATGTTAGTTATCGCAATAAGATGGAAATATGTGGAAGCACCAGCTGATATTATATTGTGCTCAATATATTAAAAAGTGAACCATGTTAAAATATTCCTTTTTATAGCCCTGAACTCCTGGCACAGGCTTGTACCTCCCTCCCAAAACATAGTGCTAAGAAGCTATGACATACAGCATAGCACACGTCATAATTACAGCAATACAAGGACAAAGAGCTACATTTTAGGACTTCACTGTGTTTCCTTTTCATTATACAGATTATGAAGTGAATGAACAGTACATCACATCCCTTGGCATAGTTTTGGGAAACAAATAAAGGAGGCGACTTGTTTGGGAAATTATTTAAGTGTTTTCCTGCAAGAACATGTATATTTTCAAAGTCAACATTCAACTCCAGGACTTGATTTGGCAGTGATCTTGGTTAGGAACATAAATGCATCACCTCTACTCTGTTATGAAGCAGGCCTGAGAAATCTCTCTGTTGCTGTTGTGTGGCTGCTCGTTGCTAAACACAGGAGGCCCAGCAAATTAAGCAGACTTTCCTGTGTGAGCCATTATTTGATCATCACATCCTGAAAAGATGGCTAATTCCAGTTTTTCCCTTTTTTTCCCTTCTTTTGGGGGGAGGGAAGGAGGGAAGGTCAATAGAGGCGAGTAGTAATGGGTAGTAGACCAAGCGATTGTATGACCTTTTCAGAACGGGTATGCTGAACCCTTGCTCCCCCTTGTCACAGTTTAAGAACCAGAGGAGCTAGTTTAGAGAAGAAGTTGTTAGCATTCCATTTTTATTATGACATTTCACAGTCATCTGATTTAATGTCCCTTGACCGGATTGTCCACCGTGAGACGATGGGCTTGAAATGTTATTTAGAGCATTGATAAAAGGTGAGCAGCTCTAAGATGACAGCGAGTCATAAGGCTGGTGGTGTGACATTAATTTTCTCCATAACAGAGATGGAATAAGACGTCACGGTGACAAGCTGTCAATCAGCTCTGGCCCCTCAGAGCATCGCAAAGCCATAGGATGGGGTATTGCCTCTCCCGTAATAGAGCTGAACTGAGCTGCTCTCCCTGACAGCTGCTGCAGCCATAGAGAAAATATATTATACAGCCTTTCATTAAAAAAATAAAGAGGACTCCTCTCCAGAGCATTTCAATCTTTTCCCATCTATTGAGGGCTGAAAGGATTCACAGCAAATCATAGATTCCTCTACTATGGAAATTTCTGGCTTCAGAAGCCATGCAGGTTTTGTGGCCTCCTAAAATAACCATAAATAATACGGCAGAAATATCTCTCGATGAAGCATTCCTTAAAGTTATATTTTGAAACAGATATGTTTACCCACCTTTTTTGAGTTCTTATTATAATCTATGTGTCATTGGCCTAAACATTTGAAATTTGCAATAAATTACAGAGCATCAGCTGACCCGGAGAAATGAAACACTCAGAGATAATGACCCCTCCCCATGGGAAGCAGGGCGGCAGACCTAAAGCACCCGGACACAGTGTGCCCGCCCGTGGGGTGAGCTCAGGAACTCGGTGATTCTCAGACACGAGGCCTGATGATGATGTTTGCGTTGGTCGCCGTGAAACTTGGTTCAAATGGCGCCAGAAAATTAAAGTCCGAAACCTTCACTAAAATGACTCCCCATCATTAGCGCAGGGGACTTAACTGGTTTATGATGCTGGGTTAGCTTGAAATAGGAAGCTGCCCAGCCTCGGAGAGACAGTACTCTAGGAACACAACATACCTGCACGCCTCGGAATCCTGACACTGCTGTCTACAGCTCTCGCCGTTAAAACCTTTCTTTATGGGAATTTAAACAGATTTGGGGTAATAAACAACTGTTTAGGGACAATAAAAGATTAAGAGTTAATCCTGTGCTAAACACTGTCTTTAAAAGTGAGGCTAGGAGATTACACATTTATCAGCATTTGTTTCCTCACTGTACCAAGGTCAGGGGTTCGACGTAAACAATACCCCTCAGACGGGACTGGGAAAGTTCAGATTGCAGGGAGCTTTGGCTTCTCAGTATTCTAACATTAGCAATACGGGGCAGAAGATGCTTTTCACTCTAGAAAAATAGTTGTTTTAATAGGCAACTTTACCAAGCAAAAGTGTGTTATAATCCGTGGTCAGGAAATATTTTTACATATAATGATAAAGAAATGCCTTTGATTTACTGAGTGCAGGTGCTGACCTCACCATAAAAAGTGCTATAAAGAGTAAATAAATAAATGCATTTCAATTTTCTAGAGTATCACTTTACCCTCAGAATTTTTGTGCCTATTAATTAGCCTTGTAAATTGTTATATTGGTTCCCTTCTTTCAATTCTGTCAAGCACTGTGCTTATTAAAATGGCACCATTATTAATGTATGAAGTGAAGTAGTTTCATCCTTTCCAGTGCTGGAGATTAAACCAAGGGCCCAGTACACCCAAGGCAAATGTTCTACCACTGAGCTGCCCCACAGCCCTGAAATGAAATGTTTTTACCATTTGATTTTCTTTCAAACTTTCCATACTTACACAGATACTATAATAGAAAAGTAAAAAATACGTTTAAGAAAAAGTAGCTTTGAATTTACTTGTAATCATCAATTTGCCTTATTTTAAAAGATTGTATTTGTCTTTTCTCCAAAAGATTAACGCACATACATATCTTTTGATTAAATATTAGCAAATAGATTAAATATTAGGTTATTTATCCCTCATCCAGCACCTGCAATTTCCAACACTTACCAAGAGAAAATAGCAGAAAAAAAAATACTACATTAAGTTTGACTATCTTAGTCCCTGTCCTGTAGTGAAGAGTCAGTCAACAGCTTCAGACTCAATATTAAGAATCACTAGTTTCCAAACCATATACAGAGAAAAGATTTCTTAGACTTAGTAGGTGACATTGAAAAAAGAGAGTAGAAGTGTCTACTCTGTAACTAACATAATTATTTAATGGGAGTAAATACGGTATTTTTATTCCAGAAATTCTTATACAGCAAAAATTATCTACATAATTTGTGTGTGTGTGTGTGTGTGTGTGTGTGTGTGTGTGTGTGTATACATGTGATCTTTTGGCCCCATTAAGTAGCATCCTGAGAAAAACCATAGAAGTATTTTCTCAGCATACCCTTCGAGAACCTTTAAGAGTTTTCTTTCCTAATTCCAGAGCCCGCTTCGGATATTTCACAACCTAAAAGATGTGGGGTTTCTCCAGGTGAAAGTCATCAGAGCAGAAGGCTTGATGGCTGCAGACGTCACAGGTAAGAAATGATGCGATTCTCCTATTGGACGTGTCAGGCAGTGTGCAAGGCCCACGAATAGTCTGACTCCGTATTTCACCTGAAAGGATCACTGTGTAAATAACCTAAATATTTGAGTTTTTTTAAACAAGGATTGGTCAACCCCCTGATCTTTATATGAGTTCTGCTTTTTTAAAGGCAGACTAATATATTGAAAATACACAATGAAGAACAAAATGTCCTTTGAATCATTGGTATCCACACAATATAATCAGTGTACTGGTAGTAATTTTTCCAGGTGTTGTCATTTTAACAAACTGAAGCAACCCTGAATCAACTTTCCGATGATATCCGCTTCCTTCATCACATAAACTCCTACAATTCAAAATGCATCAAGCCTGTTGCATAGTTCATTGAAAAGTTTAGATGCAGAGTGATCAATAATTAGGACAAACTATTACTGCTTGAAATGCTGCTCCAGTGACTTCATTGTCCAAATCCCCCTGCACCTCCCAGAGAAAGCTCTGGATCTACATGAGTGTTTGAAATTTTTTAACCAGAAATAGACATAAAAATGTCAAAATTAGTTTTGTCTCTCGAGCTGTGGTATTGGTGCTTCTATGAAACACTAACAAATGGGGTGATGGTAACTGTTCCATCAGTTAGCATTGTTTTGAATTTACAGCTGTGACCATTCATTTATATTTAATATCATAAGGCTTTACGGGATGTTTATACCATCCATTAAATTACCCATCCCAATCTGGATGATAAATAGGACTAACTTGAGCAGTTTTTTTTTTTGCGAATGTCACTATTCCAGAAAGATTTCACTTACTATTTGTAGAAATATGCTTGCCCTGGTAAATTTTCAGTAAGATGGCCCTGAAGATGTAACGGATTTATTCAAAGGAAAGAAATATTCTTTTCCTACCATCTGAAAATCACTGCAAATCACAGTCTCCTTCTTTAACTCATTCAACAAGATCAAAATCAAATTAAAAGATCACTGCCTTCAAACTGTAATGGTGATGCTTGCTTCAAAACAGCAATATATTAAAGTTTAATGTTTGGGCTCTATCAAGTGACTATTTTTGTGTGATAAAATAAAAATGTTGCAATTTATAGTTTTTAAAGCGGTAATTATCAACTCATTTGTAACCAAAAAGATAATAGCAAGTGTCAATTTTTTTTTCAAAACAAGTACGACTAATAATAGTGGAATAGAGTGTAGTTTGTATGTGCTAACTTTGCATATATTTGGACTTGGCTTCCTTGTACTAAACAATTAGCGAATTCTAAGTTATTTATTTTTGTGCAACTTATTTCTGGTATGGTTATAATCAAATTAACTGGGGCAAAATAATTTCTACTAGAAAAATTCAAGTACCATTACTTCAGAAGCTTGACTACCTGTCCATTATTCAAGCTGAGTGCAATTGTTTGTTTGTCTTCTCTTAGAAGGAAGCTGCCATTGATTTTAAAACCACGAATATGCAAACATTGTTAACCTATGTTGTTGGCCTACATACCCCTGTGGAAGTTAAGCTACTCATTCTTTCAGAGCTAGAAAATAGTGATATTTCTTCCCTAATGGTTCTCTGTAAATTGATGCAAATAACAGTAGCCTTTCCCTTAGGGATTCAATGAGACATAATTTTGATTTGAGAAATGAACATTATTTTGAGGAATACTAAATAACAGAGTCTCCGTGTTTTTCTTCCAGTTTTAGGGATATAAATCTAATGATTCTTCATTCTAATGGGTTCTGAATTGAACAAGAGAGGTGTTGAACTGTTCAAGGGCAAGTGGATAATTTAGTCTTTGACCTTGTTCACTCTTGGTGCTTTTGTGGTCTTGATGACATTTGTGATGGTGACAAAAATGAGGATGGTGTATTTACGTCAGAAACATCTGCATATAGGACCAATTTTTTAAATAATATTTTTATTTTTGAGAAAATAAATCAGCTGTTTGTATGCTTTATCTCTTACTCATTTAAAGAAGAACTTTAAAGACATGATACACATCTCGATGGATATCAGTGGCCAAATTCTTCTCAGTATGAATCTATAGTTTGAAAAAGAGCGAGCTGAGTGAATACCGCTGCCTTCAGACTGTCAGTATAAACCCACTGAGGGCTGTTTTGGGTGGACGGGGGGATTTTAAATCATTGGTAATTCCCTGTGCCTGCGCAAGAATGCTTTCAGATCCAGTAAAAACTGAGCTGTTTTTATATTTGGTTTCACAATGCTTTTTTCTAGACCAGTCAGTCGAATAAGACAAACTTGCATTTGACCAATTTTTCTATTTCCAAAATACTTTTAAGGATCTGAACATCAAGTTAAACTTCCATTGTTTAAGAAAAAAATTTCATAATTTAATATTCCCTCATTGAACATGAGCCCAGAAGAGAAAGATTCCATAATCTTTTAAGCAGCCATCAATCTTACTGCAGTTGCAAAGAATTTTTTTTTCCTTTCAAAATGTAAAATTTTTCTTTTGTTACAACACATTCATTGAGAAACATTGTGATACTGTATTAACTCTGTGTGAATAAAGAGCAATTGAAACACTCTTTGAATGAGTGAGTATAAAGCACAAATTACTTTTTAATGAAACCCTCAATTCTTTCCCTTTCCACAAAAAGCCCATGGCCTTGTTCAGCAGAATACCACTACAGTAGGTCACTTCAGTTAAGCCCCTAATAAACTGTTGATAGTCGAGGGTAGTTTTTTCTTCGGTCTCAATAGCCCAGTGTTGGACAGTGCACTTCAAATCATTAAGGTTAATACAGATTTAAAAAAGAGATTAACTCTGGTGGTTAAGGCCTCAATTTACAACTCCCACACATACACATGCATTGAGTAAGGCACAAGAGTGGATTGAAATTTCAGTCAAATTGTGGGCAGCCTTTCACAGCCTGAGAAAAGTTGGTCTGCTGAACTCTTTGTGAGGGGGAAAAAGTTGGAGTGACTGAGAAATACCGCTCGGTACGACTTACTTACCTTTCAGCTCACCAGTGAAAAGGTAAATGTCTTTCTGCACCATCAAAGCAAAACCTAGAGAATGCCTGGCCCTGTGCGTGCTGGGGAAGAGTCTCTACACCGCTGAAACCGGACAGATTGTGAGGGGAACGATTTTTTAGTGGTGGGAAATGGTTGTTGTAACTTGTTTTCCCTGGCTTCTAATCATTCTTTGCCTCGAGTGCAGCTAATTTCAAGTGAGCATTGCAAGTCTTCTTAATTGAGTGAGGCTTTCTTTGCAGTGTTTAGGCCCGTCCTGTTGGTTCTTTCAAGTTGTAAAAGAAGGGAGAGAAAAGAGTTCTTCTCTTCAACCCCTCCCCTTCATCTTCCCCTGGGTTGTGGTATGTGGGTTTTTTTTCTCCTGAGGAAGAGGTCGTGGCCTCCCTAGAGGACCAGCCACTCACTCAGTTGCAGGAACACTGATATGGGAGAACTACGAAGCCCTTCAAAAATGCCCTGCCTTTTCACTGTATTAAAAGGAACAATAATATAAACCTCTTCCACCCCAGGTGAATTGATCTAGCAAATTAATGCACCACCTCTCTCAGCAGACAATGGAGGGAGAGGAAGAGAAAAAGCAAGAGAAAGAAAATTTAACAATTAACAGAATCTGTCACTGAAATCGTCACATTAAACCACCATAGTTTAGTGGTTTTTTTTTTTTTTTCTTTCTTTCTTTCTTTTTTCTAAAACAAGGCTAGGCATAAAGACTTGTGACTCACCAGCCCCACAGTCTGGAAACCTACTAGCTATTAAGAGAGATGTTTACTATCCCTTTATTTGCATAGACTTTTCCCGTGTTTTCCTTTTGGAAAACTGTCTTCATTGTTGGAAAATATTTAAGTAACAAAACAGCAGAAAAAGACATGCTACAATTTTTTTTTTTTATCAGCTTCCGTGAGAGTCTTATTATCTTAAGAAATAACAGTTAGCAGCTCAGATTCATTAGCAGAGCTAAATTTAAGCTGCATTTGACAGGCTGCCTAGAAAACATTTTGTTTTGCTGTCTGTGGGCTTTAATTAAGATGTGTTCAATTTCAGTCCTCTTCAGTCTAGCCCCCACCCCCAACTTGCTGTGTCACAGACTGGCGATCAGACACTTTTAGATGGTCCGGCCCATGACTTTGACCTTCTGCGCAGTCCGGCGTTCCCTGGGGAACCGTTCAACTCATGAGGTCTGATTTCACACTTCCAGGATGCCTCAGCTCTCTTAACAATGACAGGGAGACAAAAGCCCTTTAGAGCGGGCCGCATGGGGACTTGTTTAAATTGGAAACCAGAGAGGAGTCAAGGAACAGGGTTAGGGGCTACAGAATGGTGCTTTTAATAAAGAGCTCACAGCTCTGGCTCAGCTCAGAGGTCTACCTCTGTACAATTAATTGAGCCATTTATCTGGAGCATCTTAGGCCTCTACTTTCTCACAGAATTGTGTGGTAAATATCAGCTAAGAAGCAAATGAGATATGCATGAAATGAATTTTAACACTTTGATTACTGTGCCTCCAGTCTTCATTAAAAGTAAATTTATTTGTATTTCTGACCTCATTATCAGTAGGCTGCCTGCATTTTTATTGGCTCTTGTGATTTCCAGCTTGAGAGTGTCATGAAGGTATATTTTACACAGAGATTGGGATTTATTATTCTTGGTATTTTCCCTGAACATTATGGGTCTATTCAGAGAAAGAAAATGAAAAGGCAGCTGTGTAGAAAAAGGCAAGCCTGCTCTTGGAAAGTTCTATATAAAGTTTTAGGAATACCAAGTGTACATACATAATATAGACAAGATATCGTCCTTCAGAAAAACACCATGTTGTGGGTTCCTCTAGCAAATTGCACGCAATATATGCAGTTGTTGCTTCGAGTGGCCTGCAGAATACAGTTGCTCCACTGGAAGAAGTGGTTCCTTTGATAGGATTGTAACAGCCTGAATTTTTAATAGCCTGTACCTGTAGTTGCCATTGCCATATTTAATAGTAATGATACCTGGTAAATGCAG